TGGATTATATGAAGAAGAATGTGGCACCAGAGTTGGAGGAAGGCTCATTATCTATCTCTGATACGCAGATAAGACAAACTTGCCTGCTGGAAGAAAAGGTGGTTGGTGGTTGGTTATGTGCCGTGGAGTCACTTCCTACTCATAGCGACCCTGTACAGGGTTTCTGAGGCTGTAAATCTTTACGGGAGCAGAAAGCCTCATCTTTCTCCCACAGAACAGCTGGTGGTTTCGAACTGCTGATCTTGCAGTTTGCAACCCAATTCGTAACCACTACGCTACCAGAGTTAAGAGAACTTGAAATACTTACTGATGAAGATCAAAGACTACAGCCTTCAGTATGGATTGCACCATAATGTGAAGAAAAGAAAACTCCTCACCACTGGACCAATAAATAATGTCATGGAGATGTAGAAGAGATTGAAGTTGTCAAAGACTTCAGTTTGCTTGCATTTACAATCAGTGCTTAAGGAAGCTGCAGGCAAGAAATCAAATGACAAATTGCATTAGGCAAGTCTGCTGTAAAAAAAAAGAAAAAGAAAAACCTCTTTAAAGTGTTTAAGAGCAAAGATGTCACTTTGAGGACTAAGATATGTTTCACCCGAGTCATGGTATTTTTATTCACCTCATATGCATGTGAAACTTGGACAATGTTTGAGGAAGACTGCAGAATAATTGATACATTTGAATTACAGTTTTTGTGACGAATGCTGGAAAATACCATGGACTGCCAGAAGAACAAACAAATCTGTCTTGGAAGAAGCGCAGAGAGAATACGCCTTAGAAGTGAGATGGGGAGACTTTGTCCCTGGTACTTTGGCCAGGTTGCCAGGAGGGACTGTCTTTGGAGAAAGACATCATGGTGGGTAACTTGGAGGGTCAGCAAAAAAGAGGAAGACCCTCAGGATTGACACTGTGGCAGCAACAGTGGGCTTTCACATAGCAATTGTGAAGAGGGTGCAGGACCAGGCAGTGTTGTGTTCTGTTGTATAGAGGGTTGCTGTGAGTTGGAACCTAACAACAACAATATGGTGATGCTTATGGATGTACAGCATGGTGTGACCCCTCTTGTTTCCTTGTCTCCTGGTATTTTCTGGGATACCAGCCTATAAGGCAAAAGTCTCCATCTGTCCCTTTCCTGCTCGCCCCAGTCTAGACCAGCATCTGGCAGAGAGGGATACTCAGGCAGTGTCCACTGGATGGATGGATGGATGGATTGATGGGTAGATGGGTATCTGGATTGATGGATAGAAAGAAGGATGAATGGGTATTGGATGGTTGGATGAATGAGTACATTGATAGAAGGAAGGATGGGTAGATGATGGATGGATTCAAGGAAGCATGAATGGATAGCAGATAAGTGTATGGGTAAGTGGATGATGGATGGATGGATTGGTGGGTACATAGATAGGTGGATGGATGGTTGGATATATAGATGTATGGAGGAATAGTGACCAGATTCTCTGCCCTGAAGACAGGCCTCTCTACAATTCAGGGGGCTCCAGCATGTCCCAGGCTTACCTGTGATCAGGAATGTGGTCAGAGAGCAGAGTGTTCTCTGATCTCATGTAAAAGGTCCTGGGGAAGGATTCTCATTGGCTCCATCTAGGGCAAATGTCCACCTGTAAGAAGGACATGAAGTGGGGTGGGTGTGGAGAAGGAGAGTCAAATCCAATATCAGCCCAGGGCCAGTTCCTATGAGGTGTACGTCAAACAGACCTTTCTTACTGGTTCTGACACCAACCATTTCTCCCATGGCAGTTTCTGCTCTTCTGCTAGGGTCGACATTTCATTGCAATGGCCACACAGAACTCAGACAATACTCATGATTATGAGGTTTATTAAGGTAGTTAACAGATTACAATTCCGGATTAGAAATGCCCAGGACACAGTTCTTTGGTCAGGACAGCCTCTTCCTAGCCATGGTCATAGGCAGACCTCTCTTTGGGTCCTTGGCCTGTCAGTCATGAGGCCCCTTGGCCTCTTCCCTGCTGGGGCAATGTCAAAACCTCTTTTAGCACTTCTGGTAGGTGTCCAGAGGGCACTCCATTCTGCTATAAGCGTCAGCCCAAAGACGCTTGACTCTAGCTCCATGGATCAGCAAACGTAGCTATCCCGGTTAAGTGCCTGCAGATACCCTACTCTGCAAATGAGCCTCCTGCCTGAAGGCATTCAGCTTTCTCCCTCTGAAGACTGGGACACCCACTGCCCTGTTGTGTTCTCTTGGTGCTATGGCTTCTGCTGCTGCCGCTCCTTCTCTACCACTCCTCTGTTGTCTCGGCTCTGTCTTCTGGATAGAGGAGGGTCAACACAGAGGTCTAGGGATCCAAAGGATGCACGCCACTCTTGGCTCTTCTTTCTTTTTTTTTTCTAAATGTTTTATTGTGAATTAAATGATAGTTTACATGGGAGAACTTTAGTTTTACATTCATTCCATCGTATATCATCTCATTGCCATGGTTCCAATCCCCTCCATGCATCATCAACCAACCAAAGGTTATATCCCAGAAACCTGCCCCTTACGCTTCCTCCTCCTCCCCCCAGTTTTCGGCCCACAGTCCCTTTCCCTCTTTGGGTCCTAAGTCCCCAGTCGCTTCATCACTCCATGTCATCATCTCTGTCTCTATCTCAGGCATCTCTGTTTCTCTGGGTAGGGTCCCGCTCTTGGCTCTTCTCCGTTGATGGTCCCAGAGGCCTCCACTCCTAACCTGGAGAATTAATCACTCCCTTTCTTGTTACAAAACTTCTACCTTTGCATTTCCAACCCTCATAGTCCGTCCTGATAGTCATTTTTCACTACAGTATCATGAGTTACCCATCTGTATCTCCTTTCATCAGCTCCGCCCAGACAGATTGAATAGTACCTACTGGAGATTCTGCCTTCCGCCATGCTCCCTAGCACCAGGTTCCCTCTTGAAAGCTTGTAAGCCAGTCACTTCTTGTCTTTGTAGTCGCCCCCTCCCCCTTTGAGTATCCAATGTCCAAGCTGCCCTTCTCCGTCCACTCTGTGTGTGTGTGGGGGGGTGAATGTTTCTTGCTGTGAGGATGTGTTGGCTCTTCTTTCTTGATGACAGTGAGACCTCAGTCCTATTTCTGAGATGACTAATTCTATACCCAACAGGATGGTAAAACTGACCAACCCCTTACGCTAGAATTCCAAGTGTTTGCAATCACAGTTAACCCTATCGAGAATCACTCACAACTGGACCATATAATCCTGCCAGCATCTTCCACCACTTTCTCTTACCTAGTCCCATGAGGAAAAGATGAAATATACCCAGTATGCATGGTCATACCCAGTCATTTGATGGGAGTTACAAAGATACAGCAAGAAGAGCTATATTGAGTAAATGACTACATCACCAGCTCTTGGGCCAATCACCAGTTCCAGGACAACTGAGTACTTTGAGTGACCCACTCGGATCCTGGGCCACCCAGATCACCAGAAGATGTGGGAACAATATAGCCAGGGGTTCCCACATTCTCTGGGACTGGATGCCCCTGTGTGAGTGTGGGGCTGCTCAATCCTTTTGAGCTTTCCTCTCTCCACCCCAATGGCCTGGGCCATCATCTGGAGCTAATCAGAAAAGTCAGGGCTTGATGGGCAGTCCGTGACCAGATCAACCGAGACCCCTAGCAGCCACAGAAATGCAGCTTTGGGCCAAGACTACTTCTTGTGGAAGGAGCTGAATATCTGAGTGATTGGAGAATGCAGGTTTGATTGGGAAACAAATTGCAAGACAGAGGGAAACTAGAAAAAATAAGTTTCTTATGTTAAAATATAGGTCATGAATGCCAGTAAGCTCTGATTCCTAGGTTGAATAAAGAGAGTGATCAGAGGTTGATTTTTGTGTCCTTGTGTGCGTGTCCATGCATGTGTGTGCTAGTGAATTTGAAAGCTTGCGTGATTTGGTATGTTTAATCTCCCCTTTGTGTCTCTTTGCACGACCATGAAGAACATCTTTATTAAAATATGTTCAAGGGCTTTGCCACTTTTCACACCCTTGAGACCAGATACTGGGGAGTAAGCCATATGCACTTTGCAAAGTGACACATTAGGCGAGGGAACCACAGGTGCAAAGGCCCTGGGGCCCAGGGAGCCGCTGGGTGTGTAGGTGTGTAGGAGGAGAAGGCCAGCAGGCCTGCAGCAGAACTGGAGGAGTGGGGTCAGGCAAACTAGTAGAAAACAGGAATTTTGTTTCTAAGTGCTCTGTTTAAGACCCAGACTTGAAGGCCCTTCATGTTTGGTGGGAGGCCCAGAACCTGAGATTGCCTGGCATTATAGAAACTGGGTGGCAAGGCGGAGGCGATTCTAGAAAGAGGGGAATAGCACATAGTTGATGAGCCTTCATTCCAGTGAGTACGTTGTTTACGGTGCCAGTCTGAGCACCTTTATCATTTTTGCTGGTCCTGCGGTCTCTGAGCCCCTTACCTGTGGGTCCTTCAGGTGATTTCCCTGCTGACACAGACCTCAAGGCCACGGGGTACAACTTCTCCAGGGGGATGGCGAACTCCTAGAGATTTAGGCAGGCGAGCCAGGGTACAGGTTGGACAGATCCTTGTTGCTGAAAGCTTATGGAAGAGCCGTCTAAAGCCAGGGCTGAGCGGGAGCCTAGGGTCAGGGAATGACGTAGCCGGTGACCCCCAGCAAACTAGTAGGGGTGCCTGGAACAAGGTGGGACCTGTGGAGGGCGGGGCCTGTGGGTGGGGCTGGAAGGGCGGTACCTATGAGAGGACCTGTAGAGAGGAAGCCTGCAGATGGGCAAGGCCCTGTGGTGGGTGGAGCCTGTGGAGGTGGGGCTGGTGGCCTGTAGCGGCGGAATGGGGCTTGCAGAGGGGGCGGGGCCTGAAGTGGGCGGGACCTTTGGAGGATTGGAGGGGTGTGTCCCATAGGGCAGACCAGGTTTGCAAGGTGGACTATGGAGAGCTGAGGAGAATGGGTTCCCTGGAGGGCGGGTGGAGGACTGGAGTGGTCACCCTGTTTCCTCCCTGTCTCCTTGCAGAGGTCAGACCCGCAGCTGCTGGCCCAGTTCTACTACGCTGACGAGGAGTTGAACCAGGTGGCAGCGGAGCTGGACAGCTTGGACGGGCGAAAGGACCCGCAGCGGTGTACCCTGCTAGTCAGCCAGTTCCGCTCCTGCCAGGTGAGCGGCCTGCCTTCTTTGTTCCACCTGGGTCAACCTTGGGGGTATGAGGAAGAGGTGTGGTCCTGGCCTGGGGATCTGTATGGTCTCCACAAAAAGAGCTTCCAAGTGAGCCCCCTGTGAGAACCAAAATGCATAGTCTTCTTCGTGAAGGTGGGAAGTGTGAATTCAGAGATCTGCAGGGGTAACACTCCCTCGGAAAGCTCTAGGGGAGGATCCCTCCTTGTCTTTCCTGGACGTAGAGAGGGCTGGGCACAGGGAGCAGAGTGAGATCAGAAACTTTACATGCATGTAGTCAGTTTGACTCCTATATGTTTCATAGGTGAGGTCCATGTCTGTCGGGGTCTGACCTCGACATAGTTGTGTTGTTCACGAGTGTTTGGTTCATAAGGAGGGGAGATCCAGCGGCGATAGGAATAGCAAAAGAATACACAGACAGACAGAAGAAGGGAGACAATGAGGCACCCCAAAGCCAGGGTGGATACATCACTGTTGGGCAGGCTTGGGAGTACAGGCATCGTGGCCTCTGCAGGCAGCAACTCACTGCCCTGCAATCTTTACTGCATGCCTTCCAACCAGTAATGCACACCTGGGGAGGCCCGGGGCTCTGCTTTATTTAGGGGAGGAGCTTCACATCAAGCTGGGAGGGATCAAAACAGGATACAGCTAACATCAGTATTTTTCCAGACATTCAGGTAACTTTACATCATACTTCGCTGGTTCAAATCCCAGGCTAGCAACTTGGATTCACAGGCCCAATTAACATATCTATAGCCCCTGAGCTCAGGTGGGGGAAGGTGAAAGATAAGGATGAATGGGCTGCACCTGGAAAAGGATTAGGGAGGATGGGTTTTTTGTCTGTAGAACAAAGAACCGAGAAGTAGCTAAGATGTTTTTAGTTAATCCTTTGGAGAAAGGCTTGACCTTGCAACCTTTAGTCTTAGGCTTTAGGAAAATATCACATTTATCTGTGGATTATCAAAGTCTCCGTGTATTAATTTAATATATATATCTGAATATTAAGATGAAAGCAATTTTCCATTAACTACCAGTGGCCTCATTTGTTACACTCAGGCCTATAGGCCTCGAACCTCTGGACCAGTCTTACATGGTCCGCAACACATGTCCATGTATGTTGGTGTGTGCATAGAGTGGCTTCCAGCGCATAGCAACCCTGCATATGATTTCTGAGGCTTTAAATCTTTACGAGAGAAGGAAACCTCATCTTTGCCCTTCGGACAGCTGGCGGGGTTAAGCCATGGACCTTGTGGTTGGCAGTTCCGTGCTTATCGTATGGAGCCACCATGCGCCCATGGACATGTGTAGTCACCATTTTTGTTGTTGAAAAAGATATTTATGATGAATAATTCATTGGTCTACAAAATTCTATCATGCAATCTCCAACATTGTGTCTCTCATGAAGGTCAGACTTATCACGTATCTCTCCAAGGTGTTTGGGGGACACATTCAATCCATAATAGAATCCACTCAGTCTAGTTGGGGAAACAGGACATAGAGGACAGGGGACAGCTTTGAGCAGCTCAAGTTGGGGTCGCAAGGCAGATTAGAATTCGTCAGGGGTGCAGGACTTGCTCGTCAGGCAGAAGTGGGATGGAGCTAGGGCAGTGAGATGCTAGTAGGTGCCTGTGCCAGGGAGCCACCAGGGTGGGAAAGGCCAGGGCCTGCTGAGCTGCGTATAGTCCTGTCAGGACAAGTGGGGCCACCGGTCAACCTCCCCTCTGCTGACTCATCACTCCTTGCTCCTGCGCCATACTTCAGCCATGGCAGAGAGCCGCAGCTAAAAATACCTTCAGCCGACAACATTTCCCCCAGTTTACAATGTGTTCACTAGTGGCCACCAGCAGGCGAGCAGCTGGTACATATTTTTATCAAGTGACAATCATAGTTTTTCACAAGGCTTTGGGTGTTCTGGGTTCATTCTCTCCACGAGGTTTTGCAGGGCCTTGCCACCTCATGAGGTGAGGCTGGCGGTGCCCACCTGATGGGTGCTGTGGTGAGGAGTGTGACATTGACAGCGTGCACCCTCAGGAGGGTCCTGCCTCATGCACCCACGGTGACATGGCTGAACTCTGCCACAGCCCAGCAATACTTTCTGATCTGGCTCTGCTCCCTGTGCCCGCCCCCTCAACCCACCGCATCCCATGGAGTTCTGGTGGGACCACGTCTGTAGCCAGGAGGGCTGTTTCGGGCTATCTTGGGCTCTGGGCTCTTCTTTTCCTTTGGGCCCTGAGGCTTGGAGCAATTCCCAGAAGCCCATGTGTCTGTTCAGAGCTTCGGACCCACCGTCTTGGCCTCCTTTTGTAGCACCTCTGTGAGCCCAAGACCAATCCCAGCTCCTAGGAGTTCAAGTTCCCTGACTCCCTGCCCAGGGAGGTGAGTGCAGGGTCCCTGTGGAGCCTGGAGGAGAAGGCCTGCCTGTATGTGTAGGGAGGGGAGAGGAGGAGGATGCTTTGAGGGAATCACAAGTCCTCTGCTTCAGGCCCCATCTGTGTAAAAGGACAACTTGTGGGAAGCTGTTCATTGTGGTTGCCTGCGGGGAGGGGCCTGTTTTCCCTTTATCCCCTCTGGTCTGTGCACCTTTTGTTTTGTTTTACACGATGGTGTTACTGATCAAGTTTTGCTTAAGAGAACACCAATAGGTGAAAAGGGAGTCCTTGGTGCTCCCTTTAAGTTAAGTGCTTGGTGGCTGACAGATCGGCTATTGAATCCTCCCCTCCCAGCAGTTCTGCAGGAGAAAACCTGGTGATCTGCTTCTGTAAAGATGATACCCACAAACTCCTGTGGGGTAGCTCTCGTCTGTTACCTGGAGTGGCAGGAGTCAGGATCGACTTGAGAGCACACACCCATCACAGCAACAGGTGGACAAGGGGAGTTGAGGGTGGAGTTTCTCCCTCTGCCCAGAAGCACAAAGTGGCCGGGCCTGTAGGCATAAAGTTCACCAGAGAATCCACTGTAGGGAACAGTGGGGGTGGGCAGTGGGGGCACCAGGCTGGATGGGATCATAAAGCTCAGTGACCATTTCTTGAGGTGGGTCACAATGAGATTTTCTCAGTGAGAAGGGTCCAGAAGGGACCACGAACTAATGTTATTGTTGTTAGGTGCCATCAAGTTGGTGTGACTCACAGTGACCTTAGGCACAACAGAAGAAAACACTGCCCGGTCCTTTGCTAGTCTCACAATTATTGTTACACTGGAGCCCATTTCTGATGCCACTGTGCCAATCCATTTTGTTTGGGTCTTCCTTGTTTTTTTTTTTTTTGCTGACCCTCTAGTTTACCAAGCATGATCTCCAAACAGCAAGTCATTGAAGTTTCAGCAATTTATACTAGCTCAAATAATCTCTTTCTTCATTTGGTTGGGTTTTAGTCAATCCAGCCCTACCCATTCTTGCTAGGTGAAATGGGTACCAGCTGCATGCTGGGAAGTCTGTACGCTCCTTCCTGCACTTCAGACCAGCTGACCCCTTCACTCTTTCAGTTCTAATCCTCCATGGACTGGGTCAGTGCCCATAAGTTCTGGAGTCCACACAAGTCCCCAAACTTCAGACCAACCAGCCCTTCCTCTTCTCTGTCTAGACTCAGTTCTTCATTGCTGTATCCTTCCTACCTTCCACTCATCAAGTGGACCTAGATGATCACCAGTGAGAATGCCAGGCTGTTTGCCAAACCCCTTTTAACGTACAGTCCTAGAATGGCATTTTCTCTGATGGGCACAGACTTTTCTGCCTCAGTGCATCCAACGGCAAACTGCTTGCTTGAAATTCACAATGCTAGTTGTGTTTCTTTCTGCAGCTCTTTCCTTCACACGTAAATCTGTTCTCTCAATAGTTCTGGGTGGGACTAAGATTTCCATCTAAGCCTCTTACTCTGTACACAGGCTGCTTGCTTAAAATAAACACTGTTCTTTTGAACATTTCCAAACTCCCCTTTCAGTATATCCAATCAAGTATAGGCTGAACGTGGGCTTACAAGCTCTCTGTAATCATAACATCCAAGTGATTTTTGCCCCAGGTGACTCCAGTAGCAGTTTTTCTCCCCCTGAGTTGTAACACAGCATCTCTCACATACAGTTGATCAGTTAGCAAGAAGCAAAGTAGCATTTAGGAATCAGAAGTTTAACTTCCCATGTCCTTTCATTCTTTCTCTGAGGAAACCCCACGCTTTCACACGTCTGGAGCCATTGCAACAAACCCTACTCCTGACACCAACTGCAAACAATAGGTGGCACCAGAACCATTCCTCCTAGAACCCTGGAGAATCCTCATTTGACCACACAGGGCTCAGACAGCACACTCACAGTGACGGGGTTTATTAGGAAAGTTAACAGCTTAGAATTCGGGGTCAGACATGCTCTGGGCACAGTTGCCTCAGTCAGCTGCTGATAAAAGTCCACAGGACACCCCACTCCACCAAAAACCTCAGCCTGAAGGCACTTGGTTCTAGCTCTGTGGGTCAGCAAACCTAGCTCCCCCACTTACGTTGCCTGAAGGCACCCCATCTACAAGCAAGCTTCCCGCCCAAAGTCACCCAGCTTTACTTGCTCCGTGGGCTGGGAAGCTCACGGCTCTCACTTGTACTCTTCTTGTTTCTGCTGCTGCATTTCCTCTGCCACACCTCCTGCGCCACAGCTTCCTGTCCCTGGTTCAAGGAGGTTCAGTACACAGGGATCTTGGGGTCCAAATGATGCGCTCCTCTCCCGTCTCCTCTTCTTTGATGCTAGTGAGATGGCGCCTCCTCCACCCTCCATTTTGTGACTGAGATCTGATGTAATGCTTCACCACGTTGTGATGTATCGTGAATCCTAATCTCTACATGGTACTGAGGAGACCTGGCGTGGCGCTGTGGGATAACGCGCTGGACTGCAAGGTCCATTTGAACCACGAGGTGGGTGGTTCAAGCTTACCGGCCACTCCTCAGAAACCCTATTCAGGGTCGCTGTGAGTCAGAACCGACTCGACAGCACTTAACCACAACAACATG